TCTTTATTATTATTTTTTTCCTAACACTTTTTTTTTTTTTTTTTAAATCTTTTAAGGATTTAAAAGGGGAGCTGACCCTGGAATGCCTGAACCCAATGTACTAAGGTAAGTTTATGCAAATAGCAGCAGCTTTTATATATGCAACGGGCTGGAAGGGAAACTTGCATTACGGTATTCATAAATTATGAATTCTAGGATTCCTCGATTTTGGTTACTGCCTGTTACCCTGTACAGGGCTTACTCTTCCTCCCCCCAGTGGAGATAGAAAGCAGTAGTTGCAGCATTTACGACTCAGACTGGAATATTGTGTCCTTGCTGCCCAATAAATACTGTTTGCACCTTTTGTTGGTTTTTTTCCCCTGCCCTAAGGCCCCTTTACATGGGGTCCTTCAGTTCCAATCAGCATAGAATCCATGCACGGATTTAAAACTTAAACTGTTTCCGCCAATAGCGTCTTTAGCGGCCAATACAGTCATCTGTATCTAGCAATAAGTCGGGTGACTTGTGGGACATCCACTTGCTCCCTGGCAACCAATGAAGTTGAATGCTGGCGGGCTGTCTGCACAGCATACTTTGTGTTGGTGGGCCAGGGGAGAGGCAACAATCTACTACCTTTTGAAAGCTGCCCGACAGGACCGTAGCAACCAATGAAATCACAGGTCGCTACGATGCTGTCGAGTGGCTTTCACAGGGGTAAGTAACATTTACATTTTAGATTGGGGTGCTGTGAGATTTTGCATACTTTAATAGTGTGCTGTGATTCGAGAAAGGTTGGGATAAAGTATGGAATAATTAAGACCCCTATCTTTTCTTTGCTATCGGTACCCCATTTGGGTTATTTTCCTTCACTTCCTGCCTCACAGATGCAGCAGGAAGTGAAATAAGGGCAAATCCCATCTTAGACAATTGTCACTGGAAAAGGTGTCCCTTATGGATGATTTTTTTTTATGACAACTATAACATTTTGGATTTTCCATTCTGGGGTTAGTGGTCACCAGGGCAAATAAAAAGAGTGAATTTCCCCAGTGGGGACAACAAAAATAAACTGTAAAACAATAGGCTTATAGCAATGTGTGTGGTGGGCAGGAGGGAGAGAGAACGCTCTGATGCTTAAAGTGAACCTTTACCCCCCTTTCACTAAAAATCACATCAGTGTGCAGCTCTGAATGCTGATATGAAATAATTTTACAGTTATTGGTTAAATTAACATATTTTTCTTTTACCTTTTAATTGTTGTTCCACTTCCTGGCCCTCGTAGGCATTAGTGATGTAGCCTGTGCCTAAGACATGCATATTGGGAAGGTTACATCATCAGAGCATTGCTGGGAAATCTCATCTGTAAACTGCAAAATCTCACGAGATCTCAGGGAAAGGCATTTTTCCCTCTCAGATGATGTGCATGGTCATGTGCCAGAGTTCCAGGAAGTAAAGGGAGATGCAATAATCTGCCTTTAGTAAAATGCCACCATGAAAAGAATGGGAAGTCAATGAAAAGTAACGTATGCGAAGCATAAAAAGCCTTCAGTTATCTATCTGTATCTGTAGATTGCAATTACTAAACATTTCTAAAGGTGCCTTCATACCTGCACTTTATACCTGCCAGCAGCGTTTCTTTAGCTCATCTATGGGAGGGATGGGACCCTTTGCAGTGGTGCTGCCCCTGAAATGCAAGGGTGGTTAAATGCTTGTTTAGCTCTAAGGTACCTAGGGGAAAAAAAACTTTTACTGACCCGATTCACGCTCATGCCTTGCAGGGGTAGCCCCACTCTAAAACAATTTTTCTTCCCCCAGAGGTAGGCTTTAGGGTGACGAGGCCACTTTAGAATCATGCCCTGGAAATATTTTCAGACCTCCCAGACTTTTTTGGATTTTTCCATGTAAATGTATACCATCAAGTTTCAATCACTTCATAGTGGCAGCTCCCTTGTGCTATTTCTGTGTCTGTATTTTCCATGACATTAGCAAGAGGGCCGCATTATGGGAAATTTTAAAAGACAATATTTAGATTTTTCAACCCTAATAAGTGATTTGTAAGAATCTCCCTGTTGACGGAGCTTCAACTTTTCTCTAATTTTTTGCTGTCAAAGGGATTCCTTATATTTCAGGAAGTGGCAGCTGAAGGGAGTCCCTTGTTTCATAACATCTCCATCTAAATGGGTGTATGCAAAATATGTTGCTAATTTTGACTGTGAGATAATCTTAACGGAGAACTAAAATCCGTAAATGCCCCTGCTCTAGTGATGCAACGTCTGCGAGCTTCCTCGCTGACATCATTTCTCCGGCTCGTTCCGGGGGCGAGGTCTTCAGCTGTCTTGATTGCCTTGGATGATGTACCACCTTCGCATGCACAAGTTAATTCATCCCTGCACCCAGCAGGTGCCAGAATTTTACACTGAGCTGTGCATCTCTTAAAGCTGAACTTCATGCTAAGAAAGTATTGTCTAAATACAAGCGCTATGTGCATTCTCATTTGAGAGCTATGTCACACCAGCCACAGTGTGTTCTGGCAGCGAATTGCGGCCCGCTCACTTTGTTTTGTGGCGGGAGGGTGCACGGCGGTGCATTAAAGTCAACGGCACCACAGCCACACCCTCCAGCCACAATGCGATCTGCCGCATGGGAACGCATGGCACATCCAATGACTGCTTTCCGGTCCGATCAGAAAAAAATAGCGCTTTTCCGACAGGACCGCAAGCATTGGGATGTGCCTTGCGTTCCCGTGCGGCAGATCGCATTGCGGCCGGAGGGTGTGGCTATGGTGACATTGAGTTCAATGCACCGTCACGCCCCTCCCACCCCACAACAAAGTGAGCCGGCCGCAATACGATCCGCAATTCTGACCGGAACGCACTGGCTGGTGTGAACTAGCCCTAAATCTTGGCTGCTTTGTGCATTTTTTCCGGATCTGTGCAGGAATCCAACATAAAACTTTACCTCTGTGCAGGAGCTTTCTGTAATAAGAGCAGTCAGTGCTGCTCTCTGTCCCTCGTGCAGGGTGACTGGTCTTGTATCCGCCCCCTCCTTTAGTTTCCTGGAGATGGCCTGTAGTGGGTGGTGCCTGGTGTGTCTCTTCCACAGCTCTACTCTCTGCACATGATATGTGCAGCACAGGAATTATGTCACCATTACTTTTCAGAACTGTGTTTGTGTGCAATGCACACATTTGTGCACACAAAGTAGACTTTTATCCTTAGTGGCTATTGAGGGATATAGTTAAATGAGAGTTTTTGCGCTCAGTTCAGCTGCAAACCTCTACATCCAAATACAAAATATATCTGTAAATTGTATTATTTTCCCCAAAATATGTAAAACTTATACACACATTTATACACACATGCCACAATGAAATGTCAGACTGACATGGTTCAGCAGAACAGATTCCTTTTTCACCTTTCACCTTTTTCACCTTTCCAGAGCCAGCCAAATGCCTGGCTCTGGAAGGATCACAAAGTATTTTTTTCAATGGCAATGGACTAGACTCGTATCCTCTCTCTGGTAGCAGGCAGTTGATCCAGGAAGCAGTAAAGCCGAACTAGGAAGTAGTATAATGCAGTGTGGCCAAGCTGTATAAATGACAGATCATTTTCTGGTGGAAACATATACAGTATGTGTATTTAGCTGTTTGTCTGGAGAGTCCCTTTAATTATTTTAGTGTGCCCGTTTCATATATTTCGTTAGCAAGCTCGCTAATCTAATTTTGTAGCTAAAAGCCAGCTCGTTCAGTTGTAGACTTATAAGTATGTTGAAATTCCAAACCTATTTTGGATAAATTAGGCAGCAGCCAAAACCCGTCAAGAAGTCTCCCTTCACTTCCTGTCTTGTGGACACAACAGGAAGCAAGAGGAAATTTCGCCCAAATTAGGTTAATTTCTTTGATGGGACACTTTTGGACTATGTCCCCTCTATTGCTGTTCTGGAGACAACTTGAAATTTGGGGTTTTCTTTCACTTTCAGTCACAATGTTCAGCAGGACAAATAGAGAAGGTAAGTCTCTTTACCACGGACACAGAGGGGAAAACATAACCTGACGGGTTATAATTCTTCACCACTGTATCCGGAACTAAACACAGTTTTGCTTTTACGTTTTGCTTTTTATGCACTAAAAAGGAAATTCCTAATGGATACAAACTTTTTTTTTTTTTTTTTGATCTTCTAGTCCTCATGCCCCTTTTGATGCTCCTGTGGTGTGTGTTTTTTTTTTTTTTTTTTCTACATTCAGGGATGCTTAAAACCCTCTTATAAGGCCTGTGAGGAAGTCACTGGGTTTACAACAAACGTTGTGCCATTGGACCCAGGAGGAGGGATGGAGGCTCCCCACACCACTTTCACTGTTCTTCTCATCAGACAATGTTGACAGAGATCTGCTGTCGGTCACAACACCTTAGGAGGCCATTGCTGAGCAGGGGGGTTCTCAGTGGTGACATTGCAGTCTTCCTGTGTGACTGAGCAGCACTCAATAGGCTGACAAAGCTGCAGTGATTTCACTGCAGGGGAATCTTTTTTTTGACCTGTTGAAGAACATGCCTGGCTCTGGAAGGATCACAAAGTATTTTTTTCAAATAGAAAATGCAAATTGTATTTAAAATAATGCAGTTTGCCTTATGTCATTGTTATGTTTCACTGATAACATTTCTGAAAATTGATTCTACTTCAAAGTGAACCTGTAGCACCAGACATTCTAACCAGCTAACTGTATTCTGTAACAGGAAACATGGGATTTGTCTAATTTGCTATAACTTGGAATGCTACAAGTCTGTTGGTCACTAAACCTCCCACTTTGAATATTGGCATAACCAGGGACTTGCCAGTTGGAGAAGTGAAGGGTTCCAAGTAGGGTGGACCCAAATTCAGGAGGCATCTTGGGCTTACAGGCAACAATTTTGATTGAATGTTATAAAATAAATAAAGCTGACCATACACAGCCAGATGATTCTGCTATTAAGGGGAGCAGTGACCGATTTGCCAGTTTTACTAAGCTTCTACAGAACCCACAACTCCTTTTTACTGCATGATTACCCACCTTCCACTAGCTGCATGCACAGTAAAAGGGATTCATCTTACAATAGCCTTGTACATACAGTTATCAATTCCTGCTCTGATCTTGGAGCTTACAAGGCTTGCGTAAATTATAAAACTCAGGATTTACACATCGGTTAGTGTACTGTGTGATTCATAAATACCTCTCTGTTGTCCTAAAAAATCCAATATAAAACATGACCCTGACATCGTAATTGTGCATGTGTTTATGAGGTCAAATCTGTCTCAGATTCTTGCATAACCGTATCAAATCTGTCTCCGATATTTCCTTAATTATTGCCAGGACTACAAGCGTTGGTGTCGAAATACCCACAAAGCCCTCTGCCACCTTTGTTCAGTGCCTTGCCTGATTACTTGGTGTTTATCAATGGCTCAACCTTTTAAGGCGGACAAACAGTATATAAAACTTCCAACTCCTCAATGTAGGAACCCATCTTCTAAATAATATAAACGATGTATCCTGTTGCACTCCTTACCGGATCAATGAATGTCCTGTGTAAACCGATGGGTGCTCGTAGTGACCACGGATGATGCCGTGAACAACATACAAATATAAAGGATGTCATCAGCAAAAGTCGGTTTTAATGCAAAATTGCCATTCAATTTGCAAGCGCTTTCGGGGCCTCAAGGGGTCCCCTTCATCAGGCTCAGAATTCTGAGCCTGATGAAGGGAACCCCTTGAGGCCCCTGAAAACAGCAGCCCAATTCTGCAGCCCCAGTGCCTACTGCTGAAGAATGCAGGTATGAAGAGTTTCCCATACTCCTCAATCAATGCTGTTATATCTGAATGAAAGATTGTAGTCCAGCAAATCAATATGAATAGTGTGATGACAGGAAGGAGATTTCCCACTTGGTTATTGTGGGAGGCGGACAAATTGGGTGACTGCTTCTTATTGATATTGTAAATACTCTTTTAACAATAGTAAGCGTACCTGGAACCAGAGAGAAGTTGCACACCATTAAATTACTCTAGCCACTTCCAGTTATGACCAGCAGAAGTTCCTATGGTAATGCACTCTTGTCCACTGGTAAATGGGAAGTGTCATGAACAATATTGTCCCTAGCACTATGCTGTTAGCTGCTTTGGTAAGGTTGTACATTTTCTGTGCCCTGAATGTGGGTAATGCTTTATTGTGTTGTGACTCAGAAAAACAAAACCAATGCTGCTTATTAATTCATGTATTTATGCATTGATTTGTTTTAGCTTGCTCTGGGGATGAAGAATTCAGAAAAACACTTCTAGGTCCAGACGTTGAAAACCGTTATTGCTGTTGGCTTGGAGAAGCGGAATACTGGTGCCACAGTTTACAAACATAAAGCAGCATGGATTTATGGCCCCCGGACTTAGTACTGCCATAGCATTTGATCCATCAATGTAGCAGGACTGGCAGCATTGCTAAGGCCATATTCTCATTACAGAAATGTGTTATTTGTCATGTTGTCATATACTTGTACACTGATGTTTAACCTCTGTACATTCCCTCCAAACAAAATCACCGACTTGCATTTTTGGTTATAAAAATAAATGTCTGTTATTTATCTAGCTGTGTTAATGTTTCTTTAGAAAAATACATAGAGCTGTGTTATTTCTTCTAAAAATCCGCAAAGAGCCTAACCCATCCTTTTATTTAATGGGAAGTGGGAAACAAAATGAAAGTTGGATCCAGCAAAGGTTTATGATGAAAATAATTTATTTGACAGCATCTTTAATAATACATTTATCAACAAGAATAAATAACAGGAAAAAGTTGCAATAAATAAGTATGTAGCAGTGAATACATCCAACATGGTTGACCCCCTGTAGAGTATACTGTTTTGCTTTTCACTGAAAATGCACACATTTTCTCTGCTGCCTCAGATAAAGGCTGACATCACACCCAGGCGTTGTAGTAAAACATATTTGACTGTGCATTATGGCAGTGAAGTGCAGTGTGTTGAAGCACCATTCATTTAGAATGGCACCCCAGTGCACAGTCCAGCAGATGCTGATAGACCCACACTGTAGCACACCACCATGTGTTGTGTTGCACGGTATTATAATAAAAGGTACAGGTCTGCTATTTTGTTGTGTGTTAGTAGCTCATTATACATTAGGGCTTCTGTCGATGGCATCAGTTTGAGACGTTTTTTTTAGATAACTTATATTGGCAGATGTTTTTGACCTCCTTCAAGTGGGTTTTACATTACCATCGATTTATATGAGACTGCAAACGCACCTGACGGGAACAAAAGCCCAAACAGTCCCCTAATGTGCTTAAGTCAGAAGAAAATCTCAAAATCATAAACTAGATTTTTTAAAACAAAATCTCAAACTAGATTTTTGTATACATTCCCCATGATCCCCAGCAGCCAGATTGACAGGGCTGTGTGGGATTTCAGCCACTTCTCAGTTAAGCATTGACAACTGTTTAAAACACAGTGAGAGCAGAGCTGAGACTAATTTGGAATGACCAGGACTGTGCATAGACTACAGTGAGATATCAGTGGGAAGGGCCTAAAATCCTTGGCCTGAAAAGTTACTGATTGTGTTCCAAGGACACCAGGCCGCCAATGACTAGGAGCTGATGTACAGAAAGTGGCATTATGCCACACGTTAACGTACGTAGGTTGTAGTTTGTAAGTCTCATATCTGGTTAGTCCTACATTAACATTCCAGTAGAAAAAAAATGATGCCTTGTATGGGTTACCTGAGCCCAATCCTATACCACACTTTAAGTAATCTTTTGCATACAGCAACATACAAAAGTACAGGGAATTCATTCGCAGATGCAGAACTCCTGACCTTCAAGGGTAGTGTGACTTGGAAAGTAGTAAAGCCATTGGATTAGCATGGCAGAGAATTGGCATGATTTGTAAGGAGAGATGCGCTGGCATCTTTCATATTTCCAAGTATTGGTTTCCCTTCTCGGGACCTCCCAAAAACACAAGTTAAGGTGTAAATAGCCAGCACAGTCTTGGTATTTTCCTATTTTATGGAAAGTGAATGTTTTGGTCTTTATTTAAAGCTGGCATATATAAAATGCACAGCTTGCTCTCATGTGCAGACTTCTGATGTATTCTATTGCACAATTTGAAAAAAATAATATAGAATTCTTTAAAAATAAAAGATAAATATGTAAATAGTGTAATAAATAAATATACATTAAAGTGAATAATTTAAGTGTAAAAAAAAATAAAGTTAGATGGTCAAATTGTGTTTTTACACAATTCTACCTTCCAATAAACTTAAAGTTCTGCAAACAGAACAATTCTATATCACTACACAGTAGTGAGTATGAAAAGCATGCTCAGCTGCGGCTGTTTCGTATAGCTCGGGTTGTCTTGATCATGTAGTCTTTGAATGACTGCAGAATGAGGTAGATAGTGAGCTTTTCATTCCAAGCATCTTTGGACTTTAAGCCCTCCATTGAAGTGACTGCAGCGTTGTCAACTTTCTCTTCATGGTGATTATTTTCCATCTGAAACAGAATAGAATTTTACTATTACTGAAATTGATATACAGCGTGTTCATTCCACTGTCTATTAGACCCTGGGGGGATTTTTCTCAGTCCTTGTTATAATGGAATTTACTTCCTCTTTGCAGCACTTTTTTTTTTTTCTTTTTTTTTTCTTTATTAGCTTGTGTTTTTTCAGCTTTACGAGCTCATTAAAGATTTAGATTGTGAGTCGCACATTAAAGTTTGCCATATATGGGCCTGGTGAATGATGAATTAGATTGCTAAAAATGCTTTTACAATTTCAACAACCAATGGGTTTCCACAATGGAGCTGTGTCATACTGAAAACATCTGAGCAGCTCTGCTGGAAATTTTTTTTTATGTAAATAGACAATTGTAGAAGCCCCCCACCAGTTCACTTTGAGGAACAAATGAAGCAACTTTTAAAAACATTTGGCATGAACTTTTCTCGTTGGCTGTCCAGTGAAGAGGTCACGGCGAGCTCTGAGTGTTACAATAGCAGGAAGACGCGACTGTGGAGAAAAAAATGGACTTTGGGGGCTTACTAAAAATATTTTCATGGTGAATGGGAGGGATAGATGAGGACAGTTTTATTGCCCAGATATGGCTTTAAAATAGCCTAGCAAATCCTTTTGCTTCATCAATACACACGTAGATGTTTACAGGGTAGAATGGGAAATACACTGAGGAGATATCCTTGTGTATATGGTTAGTTTACATTTGATTTTATTGTTACTCATTGTTAGAGTTAACCACACACTTCAGCACCAAAATATAGAACCTGAAGGAGATCTGAAGCCTGATCTTGAATGGAACCAATCAAGTTAGGAATATATGAGCTGCCACTGTTGATTGCTTTTGAAAGTGTATATTGTGTGGCTGCCATCCCAATCCGTCATTGCTCATTGACCTGGAACAAGCATTTACCTATGTGGTGTTGGTACCTTTTTAATATGCATATTCTTGTTCTTAATCAGTGAAGACGGGATCAGAATTTTCAAAATGGCAGCTTGCATATTCCTATCCTAACAAATTCTGTTTAATGTTTATGGGATGCTTTAGACACCATAAAGTTAGTAATGGCTTTAAGATTTAACATGCCCTTTACTCAGCCCAGTTGAACAGAAACCACAGGGTACACTAATCTGATGGTCTCGCCACAATCGGACACAGTAAAAAGTAATTTAAGTTACAAATATGTTTGCAATTAATGTATTTAAATCTCTCATTTGATACTTGAGATAAATGAAACTGACCTTTTTCACAGCTTCGGACAGAGTCTTGGTCTTGTGCTCTATGGACTCTACTCTTTCTTTCTTACTTTTCAAAGATTTCTTCAAAAATGTAAAGTATTTTTGGAACCTGAGCAGATCTTCGTGAATCTTGTGTAGACATTGCTCCTAGAAGAAAGAAGTGGTATTGGTAAATGTCAGGAGTAGTTTTAGATCACAGTAATGGCTGTCTACATTCATTCATAAAGAGGACCTGTCACCTGACCACCCTGCCCCCCCTAGCAACATTTTACAGAACATGGGTTCCTGGTCTAGGGTGCATGTGACCACCCCAATGTCAGTGCCTGAACAATGTCAGTGATGTCATCTACCCAGGGACGGGAAGGGTTTGGGGCTTATCAGGGGAGATGTCACTTTGTCCCAAATGGGCAGGTGATAGCATGTTTTCAATGCACAAGCTGTAACGTTTCTCCAGGGAAACAAAATAAAAAGTTGAAAAAAAACCCCCAACATTCTTAAATGTAGTCAGTAAAAAAGGTGGTTGCATTGCCTGTAGCCATAGGCCTTATTCACAGCATTATTTTTTTCCCCCCAACTATGAGCAAGATTGTGTTGACAGAAATGTAAATTAAATCTGAAAAAAGAGAAATAGTTTTTCCCTTTGATTTTAGTTCCTATAAACAATTTTGGCTTGAAATTTTACGTATCTCAGTGGTTGATTTTCATGTCATTGACACGCATGCTATATGTACCTTATTGAAGTCTTTGCTCAGACATCTGTCTGTGATCTCTGGGAGTTTTAGGTCCATTTTCAGATTACGTTCCATACTGCTGCCACATAGATTAGAGGTATTGCAAAACTATGGAAAAAAAAAGTTTCATGAATAAGTACACAAAAATGCACGTTCCACAGTCCACACAGAACACATTATATCAATAAAATACATGCTATCTAGTTTGTAAGGGTTTACATTTCCTGTGTATGGCCAGTAAAGCTTTGGGTGACTCGAGTTCTCTGGTTCTAAATCCCCATATGACATTTGTTAATAATGTTTGTCCTTGTTAACAGCTGTGTCCATGTTTCAGATTTTCTCTCACTTCCTGTCTGGTAAAATGTCTGCAGGACAAAAAGATAGAGAAAGATTCTCTACCAGATCCCCAGGTAACAGTAAAACCAGACTGGGGTTCTAATCCTTCCTCACTCTCTAGTTAATCACATATATTATGGGAGTGCTGTTACTTTAAACAAGCTTTAATAAGTGACAACACTGCTTGAAACTTGATTAAAATGAAAGCCATAAGATCTATAAGATAAGATCATAAGATCTATGTTTAAGATCTCCAAACTGTAGCTGAAGGTTGCTTACAATTCTTTAAAAAAAAAGCTGCATAAAGCTAACAAAAAAACGACAATGTCTTGCTGTCCCCCAGGGTAGCCAAACTTTGGCCCCCGAGCTGTAGTGACACTACAAACCCCATGTGGCATTGCAAGACTCCGAGTCATAGGCATGATATGCAGAGGCAGAAGCATGATGGTATTTGTAGTTTCGCCACAGCTGGAAGGCTGAAGTTTGGCTACCCCTGCTGTATACACTGCTCTTATACAAGCTAAAGCATGTGTGCTCAAGGCCTAAGAAGCAAACAATGATCGCTAAAGCAGAAGTAAACCACCAAACAAAATGAACCATTTTTGGCCCCCTGGATCTATGAATATGAACAGCATATTATGGCAGACTTAAGCTAAGCTCAAGCTCTGCGATTTCTACACTCTCCTCGGTCCTTCCATTTTCACCCAAAGTTTATCCGGGTTTAGAGTCTTTAGTCATCTTGATCCGGCTGGGCCAGCATGATATAACTCCCATAAAAGCTCCAGGAGAGGTATTTTATCCAGGCACAGAATGGTGCCAAGACTGTACACTGAGCTGCACATGCACCACTCAATGTACACTAGGGCTCCTTTCATAAGGGTACCTGTCCATCCTGATCAGCAGGGAATCCGTGCACAGACTCCCTGCTGATAGCTGAATGGAACAGATGTCACTTATGTGACATCCATGTTCATTCTGTTTTTTCCTTACTGAACAGACCCAGGTTAGGCCTATGGGCAGTGGGATGTAAGCAGACGTGTCCCTTTATATCCTAGACAGATGTAAAAAGACACGTAGAGTTACATCAGATACGCCTGAAAGACTGACAGACGGATCTGATCAGACTGCCTGTGTGAAAAGGACCTAACGGGCAGTGAGAAGTATCTATGATAAAAGAAATACACCATCCCTTTGTAAAAAGCCTATAAGCACTTTTTACCAACCCAATTTTACTTCCCCCTAAGGCATTAAATATAATTGGCTTCTACTAGATGGTATAATTCAATGGATTTCAGCCTAGTGGAGAACGTTCATAAAACCTCACTACAAGTATTGTAAAGAAATGGCTGCATTAAATCTGAGAAGATGAATGTGTGGTATATGCAAGACGGCCAACAATAACCACACTGATAATTCAGATGAAATGTATATTAATTGACAATTCATATTACATCAGCCACATGAATTAGTCTCTGTATGACCCTTTACAGCTCATGTTTTAGCTTTATGATGTCATTATGCGTTTTCAAAAAAGTGAATCAGTTACAGGGAAAAAGAGTTCATCAGGAACCACTTAAGCTTTATGAGCACAATACGTATGTATGCGACGAGTGAATCTGTGTTCTGGGAACAAGGCCGACTGATCAGAAATCTCATACATATGAAGTAGTACAACTGCACAGTGACAAAGGAAGTGCACAAAGCCAGCTGTATGCCCCATGGGACTGCAAGGAATGGTGTTGAGACACATTTGAATACAGTTTACTGGCAACAATGCTGAGGGAAAGCCAGAGAAATTATTTAGGGACTGAAATATGTATCACAAACCGAGACTAGCAAAGCAATAGAAAGTTTTCACCGATCAGCCAGAATTTAAGCCCCGACTGTGAATCATTTGATGATTCTGCAGCTGCTTAAAGCGTATTTCTATTTTTGCAGCCATATTTGGATAATACTTCTTTTATATTTGTTACATGATGCCATTTACAAAAAAAATTCCTGCTAATTTTTTTAATTCCTGAAAAATCCTACCTAGCGTTCCCCTTTTGTATAATGTTATGGAGGAGACTGGGGAGTTATGTGTACCATAATTAACCCTGTCTGCACCAACTAGCAGATCTTTATTATCCACTGTAAACTAGGTGTGCACGGGCTGTCCTAACAAAGGGTTAAAGATCTCAAGGCTTGGGCGGTACATTGTATGCTAATACTAACTGGCTCTCAATCTGCCCCCTACTTGCACATTGCAAGCTATTCTGAACAACAGAAGTTGAGCAATTGAGTCCTATGTACACACCTGTTCCAAAGAAACAACTAGAATGGGAAGTAATATTTTTCTATACTTTTATGTATGCTGTATGAATGGGAACACATAATAAACATATAGTTTTGTAAAGGTCAAAATACACGTTGAGGTTTATACACAGGGTAGTCAGTATAGCAATGCTGCAGTGTCCACGGCACAAATACTGCCCTCCATCATCTCTTAGGTTAATGTCCTGTGCAGTGACAATGAACATCATCATACATATGTATATAAGGGTTGTTTGCCCATATCTAGGGGCGTGGAAACATCATCATACATATGTATATAAGGGATGTGTGCCCATATCTATGGGCGTGGAAACCGCTCTGGTTATCAAATAAGAACTAGGTCTCCATGACAACTTTCTATGAGTGCCACATTTCATGTATAATAAAATTCTACAATAAAGGCCTCTTTTAACTATTAATAATAATATAAAGCTTGCACTGATAAAGTAGGTGCACAACTGGGCCAACAAGGCCATGAGCCTGGTAACAGTTGGTACCTATTATTTTACTATAGCACCCATATTTAGTCTGTGCCTCAGTCCTACATTCTGAACACAGACCTATTCAGCGAGGAATTAGAAGTTATATCTGACTGTCATAAATAAACCTGATTGCTTGATACGGGTTATTATCGCAAGTTGTACAAGTCTGTTGCTTTTAGAGCAGTTTTACTGAATAGCCCGGCATGTGTTTGTGAGCACTGAGAAAGACACCTAGTGAATCTACAAGTACACTTGCACATCTCAAAGGTTGGCCTAACAGACCTAATGCTGGTTTGAGTACCATGGTAGTATTGGTTGGAGGAAACTCACCTCTTTGTACAATTCTGCAGCTTCCTCTGCTATAACTTTGGCCAGACTAGAGGCAGAGCTGAATATGTTATTAGCAGTTTCATCACCAGAGGAGGCAAGTGATACGGGTGCCGAGCTGACAGATGTTACAATGATTGTTATTGCCAAAGATACCAAGAGATGGATGGAGGTTAAATAGAAGCCTGAAACAAGAAATATGTCTCATGTCACAAATATAATAATACAACAATCATTCTACATATTTACTGTGGGATGTAAACATCCTGCTAAATGAAAGACAGAAAACAAATTTGATTTTTGTTAGTGATAATTTAATATTATGAAGCAGGGGTAGCTGCTGTGGAACTACAAGACCCATGAGGCATTGCAAGACTGTGACAGACAAAGGAATGACTCCGAGAGGTATGGTGGGATCTGTTGTTTCACTGTAGCTGGAGTGCCAATTTTGTCTACCCCTGTTATAAAGTCTTGTCTGTTTTTGGATTGAATGGGGAAAACTTAAAACTTTCCTGTACATGTTACTTTGAAACAGGAAGGCACAGAAAAGAATAACACATTTTCAGAGGTTCTAATCCTTCCCCACGCTACAAAAATATGTTTTCCTTTTGGAGAGATTTCCCAGCACTTCCTGCCCTGACAGGAAGTGAGCGGAAACTTTCCTAATAGCTACATAAATAGTAATACAGACTATCTTTACAAAACATGTTTTGGCAGGAGCTGGGCTTTAATTTTTGTATGAACAGTAGATTTACACATTCAAAGGGTACTGGGTACATTTGTACTGTCATGAACTGATACTATATAGGAAGACTTTAAAGCTTTCTTCTCTTGTATTTTAATAATGCACCTCACAGTAAGGCTGATATAATAAAAAAAAACAAAATTAGAATTTGAAAGAAAGAAAACTCGGTGTTGCCCAGAACAATCAATATTTCTTTTTGTTTCCTACTCTAAAATATTCTTGCTAAGGCCTATGATTGACTGAGATAGAGAAAGCAGAATAAAGTGACACTTTTTAGTGGCTAGAAATATTACAAATGCAAGCTTTTAGGTTCCTCCTCTGGGCACAGAGGCAGACGTCATAAGAAAGCCACTTATTTCTTCTCTACCTGTGGATTTATCGCTAACGATACAATATTCACTCACATTTCTTCAATTAGTTTAATATTACAAAGCTCTGTACCTTAACATTGGCCTTTGAGCTACATTGACATCAGAGATCTGAGACTTGAATAATATTATATAACATGGACAATTGGACATCTTCTACAACAAACATATATTTCTTTTATTTTCTAAACAACAAAATAATGCATTTCCTAAAACCTCATTTCTTGTACTCATAGTATACCATAAGCATCTGTTGGCAAGTGCGCAGCACACAGCACAGGTCCCCAAATTCTATCACAAGTGGCATAAGCCTCATTAAGTATGAAAAATCTTGCCTTCCACAAAAAAAAAGAAGAAAAATGCAACAAGAGGGTTGGCAAAGAAGGTATTTCAACGCTAAGAACCTACAGGAAGACTGTCATGAGCCAACTGAGAGACCTCCTGGAAGCACATGTGGATCCCTAGCCACTGGTTGGGGATTAGTGCAATACAGTGCTACAGTGCCAAAGATAAGAGCACTTACAAGACCAAATATCCCCTAAACAAAGACAATAAAGCCATATGAAACAGAAAGTTAAAATTACTGGCATTCATTGTATGTTCCCTTTTTGTATAGCCATTTATGTATAGCACTGTACATATATCCTACAAGGTTAAACCTCCTAACAGAGTGCCTATTGCATAATGCATTCTTCAACAGCAGCCTTTTTACAACACCACGGAATGTCAGTGCAAGAAACATCTCATTCTGTCTGGCGTGTTTCACTTACTTGTGTCAGCCATTTGCCCAGCGGTTTCCTTTTCTCTGTTTGACAGTAGCTGCTGGTATCTGAGCCCAAAAGTGCCCTGCTTGTGAATGAATGATCTCCATACTGTCTTGTCTTGTATTTATGGAGAGCAGGGGGAAACTCCGAAAGCTATCAGACAAATTTACAAAAAAAGAAAAAAAGAACAGCCCACAGAAATATATATATATATATATTAACATTCACAATATGATGATTTGGCACCTAAAGATCACAATATAACTCCATGCCTGCACACAGGTGTGTTCCTTGTAACCTTCATCAGATAAACAAAACACAGAAAGGGTTACAGCAGGGAGGGCTAATTGGATTGCTCATTCAGTAGTACATAATACAGTAAAAGTTTCAGGCATCATGATTTGGACAAAGGATGAGCCGCAATTGACAGCACCAACGCACACCTGTCTTCTCAGGTGTTCCCACCTTCAAGCTGATCTCCTTGGAATTGGTTGAGGGGGGCCTTCAGTTGGATGTATTATATTTAGTCCCTGTTCATACCTTTGGGTCCCTGAATGCGCATCACCCTTTGATTTCAATGGGTGCCACACATGTAACAAACTCAGGACAGTAGTTCATGCTGCAGATTCTGCTACAGGTGTACCACATTTTTTCCCCACGCAAGCAAAAAAAGTGCGTTTTTCCAGACACATTTGGGGTGCCATTACCAAGTAATGGCACCAGAAGTGTGTTGCAGATTTTTAACGCGTTACGCCGACACGCATTAGGTGTGCATGGGGACTCCGGGGTGTCAATCTAAGGAACCAGAGTTCAGGATCTTTCACAACCACTAGGCAGGCTCTGCTCTCTGACAAAATGTAACCCTCTCTGTCCAGGCACCTTACATATAGTTAGGGGTACAAAATAGGACAGGAAATAAATACCCTTTCCTACAATCATCTTTCTTTCCTTCATGCATTGTATTTCTAACTATAGCAGAGTATGTATTTAAGACTAAAGACATATGTATTTAAGACTAAAAATAGTACCCCCATACTGCACTGCTCATTTTGGTAAAGGGGCTTAAATAATAATAAAAAAATACTCACCTGATCCTCGATCCCACTGCCTCTTCTCCCCCGGGCTCCGGCGGTCTAAGCCCCCCTGACGTTATCATGTCTAATGCAGGTCCATTCACCTGTATTAGGCATAAGGATGCCAAGGAACATACCACAGCCAGAACAGAGGGGTAGAGAGGTGAGTGCCGACCGCCACAGGACTGAGGATCGGGTGAGTATATGTTCTGCATTGCGGGCCCTAGTTAACTCTTGCAGTGTGGGGGTAGTCGCACTGCAAAGGTCAACTTTTTACATTCCTGGAGATCCTCTTTAACTGTTAGTTAGGACAAGCAGTGTTCACAATTAGTTTAAAACTGATGAGATCTGCTAGCACAGTACAGGCAGGGTTAATTTTGGTAAACATTAACTCTACAGCCCCCTGCACCCCTCTTCTTGAAATGACAGAGAATGGAAAAAGTTCAGTTTTGGAGTTTTGAGAAAGGAGCTAGTAAACTAAGTGTGCCCCTAAGTGTACGGGATCGGCACAGTGGCTCTCTGTACACACTTTCAGCGGCTGATCTCTCCTCCAACCACTGACAGCGGAAGCGATGTTTATTACATCAGTTTCAGTGTGTCATTTCTCTGGCTGCTGTAGTAGGAGGAGAAGCTGGTGAAGTAGGATCAGCTTCATCAGCTTCTTTGTGATCAATAGGTGACATTAGGGCGACTTTGAAAAAGTATTTGTGACGAAATGCGTCGCAGAGGATTTGACGAGCTGACGTCATCTAGTCTGATCTCTGGGAATTTCACAGGGCAGAGAGGTGAATGGTAACAAAGAAACTAAAACAGGCTCTCATTTACTGGAGAGTACCGTACGACCAGTCTGGGGTTCATTTATGCAGCGCTGATTATCAAGTTTTTAATGTCAGTGTTTAAAGAATGTACGATTAAAGTTTTATAAGGACTTACACTATGTGGCGTCCATCATTCTCCATGGGATATAAGTGAGCTATACGAGCTATCGTTTTGCAGAGGAAGTTGCCATCAGCTGTCTGGAATGTGGGAGAGTCTGCATCTAACTGTGGTCAAAGGATTCCGATGAGTATTACTTGCACAGTGGCAGCTGGGATTAGCACCGACAAGCACCGGTCTTGGTTTGGAGTGGAGCACAAGTTCACTTTACACAGTATCGGGAAAAAACACAGAGGCACCTGGGATTAGCACCGAGAAGCAGCGGTCTTGGTTTGGAGTGGAGCACAGGTTCACTTTACACAGTATCGGGAAAAAACACAGAGGCACCTGGGATTAGCAACAAGAAGCACCGGTCTTGGTTTGGAGTGGAGCACAAGTTCACTTTACACAGTGAAAAAAACATAAAAAGAAATCATTACAAAAAAGAGAGACTTCTATTGTGATGTACATAGAGTGGCTTTTAGATTGTTGTATGTGGAGTAGATCACATTATATGGTGAATACATCGTTGGAATTGTACATTAATATATTGGTGAGGTCACATTCGTGATTGATTACCACGAAAGTATATGTTTTTTGATGTTAACATAATTTGCACTTTAATGTTTGTATAAATATTTATAGTTTTAGGTAGAATTAAAAAAATAGTGCAGTGTTATTTTCAGTTTTAAATTTGGGAAGTGAATACACAAGTTTTCCTTTTTTTTCACTGGCTGGCACAATATAGATTCTTAAGGGAATGCCAGAAGCATAGATTTTTGATAAAATATTGATAATTAGGGGTCTAATAGACCTCTGATATCGTAAAAAGAGGACCTGTCACTATGTCTGTGCTATCACATAGGGGACATGTTAGCCCTCTATGTGATTGAAGTTAAGTGTAAAAAAAAAAAAAAGTCTACAAAATTAGAGTCAAACATATAAAAAAAAAAAGTAAGAAAAACACAAAATAAAGTTTTCCCCCCTCCCTCACGCACACGTACATACAAATGCAAACATGCGGCGGGTGCGCCTATGTGCGAAAATGACAATTGTGCCACACATGTTACATATAACCACGAATGTCGGAGTGTGAGCAATAATTCTATCACTGCTAACACTAGCAGGGTAATTCACTAAAGGGTGAAGAGTTTGGAGAAGACAGGAGAAGTGAACAATCTAGGACAACATAGCTGATTCAAAATTCTCCAATTCCGCTCACTTTCTAGTTCAGCTATGTTGTCCTAGATTGTTTACTTCTCCTGCCTTCTCCAAACTCTTCACCCTTTTGTGAATAACCCTGCAAATTGTTGACCAGTAAAATCCTTAAAAGCGTTGCCTGTGGTAGTATGGTAGGTATAGTAGTTTTCTGCAATTTCATGGATGCACGCAATTTTAAGGCTTGACATGTTTTGTATCTATAACGTAGGAAAAACGATTTTTTTTTCTCAAAATTTGTAATACTTTTTTTTTTACATAGTAAAACATAAATAAACTAGAGGTGATTAAATACCACCAAAAGAAAGCTCTATCTGTCCCAAAAAAGATATAAAATTCATTTTGGTACAGTGTCGCATGACTGAATAAATGTCAGTCGGCAGAGCTGAGTACTGAACAATGTCCTGGACAGGAAGGGAGTTTAATATCCAGTTCTTCAAGTGTTTATAGACAGCTGAGTTAACCTCAGTTAGCCTTACAGAGTTTATTGTTTTTAATCAAGGGGCTAGTACAGGGATAGCCAAGCTTTGGTTCTCCAGTTGTGTTTAAACTTCAAAACCCATCCTGCATCTGCTCTGGAAATCATGCCTGTGGCTGTCACAGTCTTGCTATGCCTTGTGGGAATTGTAGTTTCACCACAGCAGGAGGGCTGAAGTCTGGCTACCCCTAAGGCTAGAACATGCATCAGGTTTTAATGGCACTTCCTTTGATCTCTAGGACAGGAAGTCAAAATAAATCACATTAAAATGTCTCTAAAGCAAAAACAATGTATTGTTTTACATCAGTCCCTAGATGTAGTGGCTAATTCAGTCTTTTTCTCTTTTGCCAATCCTGCCAATAACATAGTTGTCAAACAGGCTGAACTTCAGACATGTCTGCCTTTATCTCCATTACATGTAGTTGATGGCATTAGTTGTTTACACAAAAATGATAACATAGTTTTTGCTGACTTTTCACTTATTTCAGGAGAGATCAACAGGTTTTTTTTTTGCACTTGCAGAAAATGTTCTGGCCCTAAAAAAATGAAAACGAATGCAAACACCACATCCGAGGGCTGGTTTCCTGAAATATCTGAAACTTTTTAATTTAAGGTTTACATATACTTTGGGGTCTATTTATAAATGATTTGCAGGGCCCTTCGCCCTGTTACTATCTCTAAACATTCATTTTGGATGAATAACGCCAAAAATGAATGTTCTTAATATATTTTTCTCAGTTCGAATGTAGTGTTCTAATAAAACATTATGGCCTCCAGATGAAGTTTCCCAGTTCAAATGTGGAGTGTTGTTGTAATAATACAATATGGCCCCTAGATGGAGATGAGGCGCATAGGAAATAAGCATTCCTCTTTAACAGGGACTTAGACGTCAGAAAAGCCCTTACAGAGATTCCAACTCTTCCTCATTTTAACTAAAAATAAATGGAGACTACTTTTTACTGTAAAAACTAAGCCAAAATCTCAAACCATTCATTAATTATAAACACTAAATTAATAACGCATTCATCGTTAGCCTGTATAGTGAAATGTCAAAAAAATCAAACTTGTTGGTGATTTACTCTTACTAAAAATAATAAAATACTAATTCAGCATTTGCACGAGATGATCTTGGCTGTGATGTCAACTCTCCCGCAACTCTCATATTGTGTAAGTGTAGAACTTGCAGCAACATATTATTCATAACGGATGACGACAGAAAACAGCAGCAAAACTCGACAAAACTTCCACTTTTTGCATGAAAACTTCCACCTCTTTTCATTTTTTTCTTCTCTCTCCCTCTCTCTCTCGCATGGAGCTTTCTACATATGAAACTGACATATATCTTGAATAACCCCACAACCCGGGAACCTAACCATCTTTTTATATA